GTCGCTGTTAGAATATATAATTCATTTAGCATTATTCTTTTATTCATTGTATTCCATATATGTAAAAGTGCTGTTATATAAAACACACTTCTTATGTATTTAGGAGTAGCATTTTTAGTCCATGTATAAATAGCTGAAACCCTAGAATTCTCATCACTTTTTCGGTTTTACATCACAGAAGTTGTTCTTTCCCTCTTTGTGCTCTTTCATCTTTCTCTGTATTTCTGTTCTTCAAATCTGTTCTTCAGATTTTATCATGGTATCAATCGCTTGGGTATTTGATCGATTCTGTATTTCCGCTGCACTCTACTATCTGTTTTTCTGAAAATCGCGTCTCGCGATTCTGTAGATCTGAATATCTGGTCGATAAACCCTAGTTCTGTGCTTGTTCTGCCTCGATCTGTACTAATCGTTTGATTCTTAATCGATTTAGTACCAGATCCTTGTAGACTTGTTCGAGATTGTTGGATTTTTCGTTGTTTCACGCAAATCTCGATGACGAACCCTACTGATGATCCGATCTCGCCATATTTTGTTCACGCCAACGATAATCCGGGCGCCTTGATCGTTGCCGAGCAGTTCACCGGCGACAACTATGTTTCCTGGTCCCGTGCTGTGTCTATGGCCCTCAGTGTGAAGAATAAACTCGGCTTCATTGATGGTACACTTTCTGTCCCTAATCCTACTCAGAATCCTACTGAGTCTCTTGTCTGGGTACGTGCTAACAATCTTGTTCTCTCTTGGCTTCTAAACTCTGTCAGTAAGGAAATTCGCCAATCTCTTCTATTTTTCACCGTTGCTCATGATGTTTGGGTTGAAATCAAAAATCGATATGCATTGTCTAGTGGTCCGCGTGTTTTTCAACTTGAGAAATCATTGAGTTCTATGGATCAGGGTTCCCAATCTATCACCCAATATTATAATTCTTACAAGAGTCTTTGGGATGAGTACATCACGTATAGGCCTATTTTTCGATGTCATTGTGGTGCCTTGAATAACTGCACTTGCAATATCTTGATAACATGTTTACTGCTCAACATAATGATTCAGTCATGAAATTTCTCATTGGTCTCAATGATTCTTACTCGTCTCTGCGCAGTCATTTCTTGTTGTCCTCTCCTTTGCCTAATCTGTCTAAGGTCTATTCCTTATTGCTTCAGGAGGAAAGTCAAAGAAATATTACTGTTGCATCTAAGCCTTTTGACTCTGTAGCCATGGCTGTTCAATCTAACACTCAGTCTTCTTTCAAATTTAACAAACCTCCTTTTAACAAAGATAGAAAGAAACTTAAGTGCACTCATTGTGGTTATAATCATCCTTCTGAAAAATGCTATCAAGTGATAGGTTATCCTGATCACTGGAAAGGCCCTAGAGGTCCACGAGTTCACCCTGATCATCACTCTGCTAATTCAGTGTCTGTCACCACTAATAACAATGCTCATTCTGTTACTGCTGCTGATAATTCTTCTACTACAAATTCCCTTACTGACAATCTCTTTCATGAGTTCTTAGAGTTTAAAAAGTCTTTTGAGAACAAACAGGGAGTTAGAATTGTCCATCATCCTATTGTTGCATCTGCAACCATAAACCTAGAGCACTCAGGTAATCAACTTGCCTCCTCATTGTTTAACAAATATACCTGGATACTTGACACTGGTGCATCTGACCATATGGTGTGTGACTTCAAACTTTTTACATCTTCCCCCACCCCTGTGAATATAAAAGTGAATTTGCCTAATGGACAAAGTGCATGTGCTAGTCATATAGGACATATCACTCTTGGACCTAACTTGATTTTGCATAATGCCCTATTTGTACCCTCATTTACCTTCAACCTCATCTCTGTTTCAAAATTAACTATTTCAAACAATTGCAAAATCAGTTTCTA